CCCATTGTCTTATTTAGGCATCGTAGTATTTACATTATGTACTTTGATATTAATTGATAGTAAATAGTAAGCAAAACCTTCTTTTTAAAAAGATATATTAATGCAATATAATAACTATAGCCGATGCATTTGTAATAGTGAACCATATATTATAATAAAACAAATTATTCAACTTGAACTTAAACAACGCTGTCGCTCTATTTTTATCTGGCCAGATTACAAGATCTTGGGCAAGCCAATCGCTTGGTGAGCTTTCTTTGTTGACATTAACGCGTGCAGATCCATCATATCAAATGTGCCATCCCTGATAAAGTCAACGGAATAGTTTTTGTCATAAAAAAAAATTTAATTGAATTAAGGCATTGTTAATCAATTTCAGGTGTTGGCCTTACTTGTAAAGTTGTTCAATTTTTAAGTACAGCAGTATCTTACGATAAAAATGTAGAGTAATCTTCTTTATCAGAGACACGCTGATAGTTCAGTATTTATTCAATGATTATGGGTAAGTGAGCTAATAGAAGAAGCTACGTTGTTGGAGAATAGTAATATATGGGCAAAGTTGGAAACATATGTATGCATAAAGTATGTGGTGAATGTAAATGTTTACGGTAACTAGCAATGCTAGAGGTAAGCAATCGTTGTTTAATTCTTATCCAATATATTCTTCGACACAAATGTGTACTATCGTAGAATTTACTTCTGCGCATATTTGGGACAATTTGGAAGTAGAAAAATCAGGAAGAGCGGGAGGCAGGGGAAGGGCGAAGAAATTTGGAGGCAATTGAACAGTACCTTAGAGACATTTCAGAGTAAATGCCGCAGAAATATCAAACGAGCTAGTACTTGACTCTGTACAACGTGGCAGATTGTGCGACATGGCAGGTAGATTCCTTGGTTATGCTAATTATAATGGAGTGATTGTCGAGTAAGCCGTCCCCGAATGATTAGGATCAATCTTAGATCTCTGTTAAGATTGCGCTAGGAGCTGGGGTAATTCTGGGAAGCCGCGTAATAGCTGCCTTCTTAAAAACAATTCTATACCGGTGATGACCAATTTACGGTATGACAATACCATCGCATCGGTCTTATAAATTGGCAATCCTGGCAGAGTTCTATATATACGCACGCCCTAAAGTTAATCAGACGAACCATCGGAGTTATTCAACCAAAGGTAATAAGATGAATGTCAGTGATGCTTGAACTTACATACTTATAGGGTTATTTACCGATGCAGAAAGTTCCAAGGCTGTCTCAGTCGGAGGAAACATTCAACAAGTATTCCAATTGCGGTGCAATGATTATCATCCAAAAACGAGTTTTGTAGCAATCTAGTCGGATGAATTCTAGTGATCAATCGTCAGCATCTATTCATCAGGAAGATCTACCCAACGTACACAAGGACTGGATACGTAACAGGATTCGAGAAGGATCTATCGAGTGTTATTCGGAAAATGAAATCGCCAGGCGCATTATGCCACTTGCTCGTGGTGCGTTCGGGGCCGTGTATGTGGGAACTATGAAGAACTCTGGAGAGCGTGTTGCACTGAAAGCTTTGTATTTAAGACAGTACAGTTGTGAAGAGGAATTGTATAAAAATTTTGTCAAGGAGGTTGTTGATGAGTCATTGTATTCGAGAAAAGTTGTTTGTAGAATTCAAATAACTGACATAACTTGAATCCGTCATATTCAGCTTCAACACCACGAGAAGGTTGACGGCCATCCAAATATTATTCGATTTCTAGGCATATATCATGGTATACTTGATCTTGATGTTAATTTAGCATGATATACGTTCACAGAGGCATGGTTAACATTTTTCGAATATTTAAAGATGACGCAGGTTATTTCATGGTTTCTGAATTTGCTGAAGCCGGGACATTGCGTAAGTTTCTGCAGGGTCACTTTGGTGGTTTAACTTGGAAAGATAAATACAGGTTAGGCTTGGAAATCACCAGTGGTTTACGACACTTGCATGATCTTGACGTTATTCACCGGGATCTGGTAATGAAAGACTCTTTTTCTCCTCTATCTACATAACGCGAACTGAAGTCAATGTTAACGTTATCAACACACTAATTCTTTTATTATTATATTAGTCCTCCGTCAACATCCTTATATTCTACGGCACCGCTAAGATTATAGATTTCGGTTTATCCGCTTCAACAGAACAAATTATGTCTAGATCAAGAAGTATCGGTGCTGCAGCATACATAGATCCCTTATTATTCAAAGATCCGTCATACGTCTGTGGGAAGAAGTCGGATATTTTCAGTCTTGGTGTATTGCTCTGGGAAATTTCTAGTGGTAGAGCTCCTTGCGCGGAATGCAAGCATCGGTTTCAGGCTTATCAATACAGAAAAGACGGTTATCGCGATCCTCCTGTTGCTGGAACACCTGAACCATACATTACATTATATTCAGAATGTTGGAGTGAAAACCCTGACGAACGACCGTTATGTGAAGAAATATGTAAGCGCTTAGAAAAATTATTACTCGATAATCAAAATCTGTCCGCATTAGAAGAAATACCGTACGAACCACAGGTTAGTCATAATATGAAAATCGGATTATTGATCACAAATGAAGTCTAATGAGCAACCATCACAATTCCAACCAACTGTTCATCAGGAACATCGATCTACCAATCCGTATAAGAAATGGATAGAAGAAGCCATAAAAAGAGGGCTTGTTAATCGTTATTCAAAAAAAGATGTAACTATAAACCCTCGGCCTCATGATGTCGGTGGATATGGCCTTGTGTATAAGGCGACTATGAAAAGTTCTGGAATAACTGTCGCAGTGAAGTTTTATACCCAAAACTTGGACGAGGATATGTACGAACCTTATATCAACGAGGTTGTTATTACATTTTATATTGTTTGTTCTAATATATTTTATTTGTAACTCAAAGCAAAAATTTTTGAACAATTACCTCCAACTAGCTGAAAAACCACGTGAAGGCGAGCAATCATCCGAATATTATTCGATTTTTGGGTCTCTATAATGGTGAGTTAATCATTATCTACGGCTACATACTAAATCATTCTCTGATAAATTTGCAACGCGATTTAAGATCAGGGCTCAGACTATCATATGCTCTTCGGATTTGCCGAGGATGGGAATTTGCGTGATTATTTAAACCATCACTTTAAAAGTTTAACTGGAAAGACAAATACAAGTTAGGCTTGGACATCACCAGCGGTCTAAAACATTTGCATGATCTTGATATTGTTCATAAGGATTTGGTAATATATGTTTTTTATACTTACCATTTGTATTATCACATCTCGCTGAAAAAAGAAATTTTTATTTCTAGTCCTCCAGTAATATTCTAATACAGTCCGGCGTCGCAAAGATTACGGATTTTGGTCTATCTACCCTAGAACAAATGATGACCAAATCAAGAGGTAAAGGCAATGTAGCATACATTGATCCCATGTCGTTTAGTGGACATTATAAGCGTGGGAAGAAGTCGGACATCTTCAGTCTTGGAGTGCTGCTCTGGGAAATTTCTAGTGGCAGGATTCCTTGTTACGGACATTGGCATACTTCAAAAGTTATCCTCTTCAGGCTAGAGGGTGGCCGTGATCCTCCCTTTCCTGAAACGCCTGAAGCATATGTTACATTATATTCGGAATGTTGGGGGGAAAACCCTGACAAACGACCATTATGTGAAAATGTATACGAACGCTTAGTATGTTTATTAGAGAATAGTTAAGACCCATATATTGAACCATTCTTGCAAGGCTTTGCATTAAGCACGGCTGCACAACTATGTCGATATCTCAAATAGAACTTTGGTAGTGGGTATCTGGAAAAAGAAATTTAGAAATTCAATATCAACTAGGCAAGATTTTTTTTTTGGGGGCTTCGCCCCCCCCTCCATTGATATCAGGGGTATTATGTTTGTGGTAGTGGTCATAATATAATTATATTTAGGTTATGTAACGAATTGACGATTTGCATTACCGTTCCTATTCGAGTGAAGACTTGATCGCGTTTGATCGTCATTTGCCAGTGGTACCACCGAGAATGTCGGTTAGTTGGAAAAGCTCGCCGCTACGAAGTGACGATGAGTTTGCATTTGCGTCGTTGCGGGTGATTCATATCACAATTAGCTTGCGGAGTTGTCTGCGATGGCTGAAAAAAAAATCGTTATTTGGTTATGTGAAGACAAGTTTGTATTTACGTCATTGTTCGAGCGACGATAAGATTGCGCTTAACCACCACTAATTCAGTAATTCAGACGAGCAATATGATTGGCTTGAGGGATAACGACGATTTCGCGCCGAACAGCATTACCAGCCGAGAAGAAAAACCGAAGCTAGATAATAAGGATAATTTTGCGTTTGCATCGTCATATTATTTGATCTCTAGAACGTGGTTGAGTCGACGTTAGTCGCCTTTACGTAGGAAGGATTAAACAAACAACGATAGAATTGTGTTTACGCGCCGTTATTTGAGCTAGCTAGAGCCGGAAAAAAATAAAAATAAAAAAATAAATCATACTTGATATAACTATCCCAATGAGAATTAATACTTACGTAGGGGGGTATTCTTCTTCCATAATTATTATACAATATTTCTGAAGTTAAATACCCCGACGTACAGCGAATACATATTCAAGACAAAGGGAGTATTTTTCCATAATTATTATATAATATTCCAAAGTTAAATACCATCCCGTCGTCCAGTGGTACCACAAAAAATTTAATTTAAACATTTTAAATGGATATTGAGATAAATATAACTTTACTAAATGACAGACTTTGAATATAGTAATAGTACGCAATGACATATCATTTGGAAGTGGTTATACAAGAAACTGACCCGTGCCTCATCCGCTACGGGGATGGAGAAATTTATAAACATTGTTAATTTTTGAACAATACGCAAATAATGACTGAGAAATTTACGTAGTGCATATATTTTAGTTTATATAATTTTTATTAACTGCGTCGGGTTATTTTTGTTGGGTAATATTTGTTGTAATAAATACGTCTAATGCTGCATTAGTAGTAGAGTGTATGTTCTAGTTTTTGTATTTAAAAAGCACTTGCTAAATTATATTTGAATATTATGGATATTACATAGTTATCACGTTGGAGTTAACATTCTTCGCTAGTATATCGCGCCAATTCCCGTAGTATTTGACATCTTGGAAATAAAAGCGGTTTTTCGCACCACTTTAATAAGTTTCGACGTTTTTGATTAATTTAAAAAGTTGTACCGTTTCTATAATGACAAAAAAAAATTACCTTAATCAGTTTCGTATGATGTTGATTGCTGACGCCAATACGGCTTTCAGTAACGGAGAGAACGCCCGCCTACCATACGTCAGGGCTGGAAACCTGACTGGCGACTTTCGCAAATGTCACGAGCTTTATCCGATTTACACATGGGTAACTTTTGATACATAACCACTCCAAATACTCTCACCTGTCTATTAAAATTCCTAGGCGTTGGTTCTTCTGGACCCGATTTGCGCGTGTCTGGGATCGTCCTTTTGCGTTTCTGCAAGTTGGTTTCACGAGGGCTGTACACTGTTTTTAGTGTTTTTCTTGGACAGAGAGAAGTTTTTGGCCACTTCACCGGCTTTTTTTTTATAATTGTCGACTCCTTTGAACTGAGTCTGTAAAGCGCGGGTATATATAATTTTACACAAAACGCCGTCTCTTTTCTATTTTTAAAATATCTAATGGTCGAAAATATCAAGAGGAGTGAAAACACGTAATTTACACTGAAATAAGGACGTGAGCTTGAAGAAAATGTTCCCTGTCAGTTCAAACACACGCGCGTGAAAAATGTTCGCTCTCTCGCAAACGAGATTACTGATTTGCAACATTTTACTTGATGATTACTTTTATATGACCTAAAATGTTTAATAATGTTATTCTAATAGTAACAGTGAAATAATTGGCGTAACCAAATTTATGTTATTCAAAATTGCTTAATAAAATATAAACAAAATTGACCAGTGTGCGAGTGTGCTTGTGTAAATAACGTTCATGTATTCGACTATAGGCAGAGTCAACATTTGAGATGCAATCGCCGGGGCATTTACAACAGACGATACTTGGATGTAATTATAATTGCAACAAACTAACATCAAAAATTTTGGAGTAATGTATTGTCTGGAGGATCGATACGGTTTTCTTGTTTTAAATGAACGTCCGATTGTTTTTGTTTCGTACAATTACGCATCTTTGACATGGTAAAACACAGACTACATGATGAAGAGCTCACAGATCAATATTATATTCCGTACTTAATTGGGTATTCTCAAAGTAGAAACAGGAAACCTGTAATAGTCGATCGAGTCCTCATCAAAGCACAATACGGTATTGACCCATGAAAACCTCGCCCGTATCTGTATAGTTTGCACAACAACAATGTATAGCACCAAAGAAGAGAAACAAAATATGTTCGCACAGGTAGATACACTTGCCAATTTCATTACAGTTGATATGTCCGTTGTCTTTATTATTAAAAATATATTAAATTGCATGTCATTCTTACTACACAAGAAATTCTATTATTACAATAATAATATTAATTTAATCAAATATAATTCCCGATTATAACATGACTATACTCGTACAATCCATCCTTATTTCATATTAATTACAAAATATTACGATAATAAAACAGCCCAGCCCCATAGAAATCAAAATTCTTAGCATCAAGTCCATCGTTTGCGCAACATGATTCTGCTTACCATTCGGGCTGCGACAAACCTCCCCTTGTCTATCCTGTATCCTTTCTAACTCGGATAACCTCCCCAGTTGCATCAGATGAAACAAACATCATACCCTTCCTGAACACGGCGTTTACCGGACGCATGCAGCTCAAATTTCGTTTCCCTGCACATTTCTTTTTAGCGTTCTTTTGTCCAAACACATCTTGAACAGCTCCAGTCGGCATCGGGTTGCTCGTGTTTGTTGTGAAAGGAACGTGAACGACTTTGAAACCGGTAGGTACTTTTCTATCCCACGATCCATGGAACGCAATGAATGCATCACCCTTCATAGAACAATCAAAACTTTGCGCACCACCGCAATTATCTCCATCATAAAACGTAATCCCAAGCGGGGCAGAATGTGCCGGAAGGGCTAACACTGGAGGACGGTTATGGAAAACGTTTCTACACCAAGCATCGGTATGTATTCCGTCGTTCATAAAACTAGGCCATGCCCATTGAGATCCCCTTCCTTTCCCCAAGCCTCCTGGAATTTTGTATTCTGTCCAACAAAATGGATACCCGTAAAACGTTCCAATTGTCCCATTAAAGAGATTTAGTTCCTCGGCAGGGTTATCCTCATGTATGTCGCCACCAAGATTCATACGATTCAAGTTATCCGCGCCATTTTCTACTCCCCAAAATCTCCCGCGCAAATCAAACGAGAGGCCTACTTCGTTTCTTAATCCATCTGCGAATACCTGAGCCGTTAAAAAATCGTATCCACCGGCGGGAATTGTTCGGATATCAACCATACGGATTCGCGCACGGCGTGAATTGGGATCGACATTCTGGTTAGACCCCACGCTGATATACAATGTGTTATTTTTGAAAATCAAACTTCGCGTAGAATGTCCTCGTGGTGCTCCACCATGTCCGTTTGCATTCATGCCTCGTACAACTATTTCTGGAGATGTCATGTTAGCCACCGGTTGTCTTTGTGCAGCATTGTATTTCCATCGATACACGGTAGTATCCGAAGATGCGTAGAGATAACCTTGATAAAGGGCCAACCCGTGATTTAAACCCAGATTCGCTTGCACAATGACAGATTTTTGAACGGTTCCTAAAGTATCTTCCCATAATGACATTATTTGCCCTATGGCATTATCTCTCGCAAGTACAAGAATATCTCCAGCCGGATCGACAACTAACGTTCGCGCACCCGGGAGACCGTTCGCATACAGTTCAGAAGTATAACCGGCCCATGTAGTGCCTTCAGGGTACGGTCGAGGATCTACGGTGTAAAACGTGAGAAGGAAATAGAGAAAAAAGACAAGTTTTGGCAACATCATTCTTATTGAATTGGCAAAATAAAGGATCGCGATAAATATGTATTTACCCGCAAAAAAACTTAATCATGTTGTACTACTTTTTAAGAATGTTTATGACGAAATGCCTTACTTATTCTTGTTTGGCGTCAAAAACGGAGTCTTTTGTAGGAATAAATGTTCTCCACAGTCCATGCGTACATTCTCGGGTAATAATGCGTTCATGTGCTACATATAAACGTAATGATCAGGAATGGGCGGTGTACAAGAGGAGCAATTGTAATGTCTTTTTTGTCCTCTAATACTTTTATTGGTAACAGCACATCTTTCAAGAAGGCTTAATTGCTGTCAGCAAATACTTTTGAGAAGATAAGAGGAATAGCAATTAAGTGACTGTTACATAGGAGACCTTGAAAGTCCGACTCTACCCATGCAAAAGAGCCACTTTTTCTCGTCGTCACTTGAACATGAACTTTTGATTTATTAAAATGCGTAGGCATGTGATCATCGTGTGATGTACATCGTACAATAGATTGTGTAATGTTGCTTCCTAGATTAAGTTTAAACATGTGTACCGGGGTATTCACTCTAGTGATGTGTTGTATTTCGATTCGGTTCCTAAAATTTTATTGGCTACTGATAAATTCCATCCAAATTTTCGAGAATTAACAGTATTAGATAAAAACTGTATACGATCCGCGACGCTTATTAAATATTACATAACTGTCAATAAATTTCTACTTTCGAAATCCACAAAATGGAAGAATATGTCACCACCATCGCACAGCATTCCGACCCGTTAGTATATTTCTCTCAGCAAACTGACAAGACGTCGAATTTATTAATTCGGGACTGTCGATCAAGCGTTCTTTATGCCGTAGGAAATCTCCTTATGCTCGTTCGGATATTCATAATAAGAGCTTTTCCCCTTCCATATTGAATCATGGATAAAGCCTATAAACGTTGTGAAATGGCACACTTCCAATTTGTAGATCATTCTGGCAAACGTTTCATGACCTTAATAATAAGAAATAACCGCTTTGCTAGACGGCTGTAAGCAATTTTAATTTGAAAAAATACGGTTTATTTTTGTAGCCAGACTCTTTTAATTGCGTCAACAATTATTATTATATCAGACATGAATCAGTAACTTTTGTAAAACTCGTTAATTTTGAAATATTTAGTTTAATGGTTCTCGGACATAAATCGAAAAAACAAACCCCCATAAAAAAATGGGCACAAAAAACGCGGCAATTTTTTCCAAGGCAAAACTATTCGTCTTTGTACTAAATAATGATGTATTATTGGACAGTTTCTAGACTTTCTCACAACGAACTATTATACAGAATGCCAATAAACAAAGAAAAAAGAATAAAAAGGTCGCAGTGTAATATCCCAACCTCTACCAATCTCAATAAAAAAAAAACTTTTCTAAATGTCGACTGCTTCGTCTGCTGAAGATTTGGACGTATCCGGATATTCGTTGTCGTATGCTTCAAGAAACAAAAAAGCGCCAACGTTGAAAGCACTTCTGCACCAAACGTCGGTTACAGCACAATTGTTCAGTTACAGCAACCGTCAACCAGCAGTTCCAGTCTAAGCTTTAGTTATGTCTTAAGTAACCTGGCACCTGCATTCGAAGTGACACGGATACAAATAGCGACGCAAGTACTACTAGCAACACAAGCACCAAATCATTGTGAAGATGTTACTGACACTATCATGATGAATGATGGCAGAATTGATTGATATGGAATATTTGACTTGCCCATGCTCACCAGCCCAGTCCCAGTCAACAAAATGAACAGTCAGTGGATAGTGGATCAAAATGTTATTGCTGCAGGAATCACCATGCATGTATCCAGTGGAATGTAACTGTTCCATTGCACTCTTTATCATATCAATGATAAGATAAGTTCAGTATAATGTTTGGAAGTCGTTCAAATATTCCATGATAATTGTGTACCAGTTGCCAGGTAAACACATGTGTTCATAAATCTCAGGAGTGATCTGTAGTTTTGCACGATGTTGGTGGACAAGAACAGGTGTATCATTGTGTAAACTTAATGGCAAGTTTTTGAGGGAGATTCTGTGGCTTTTCAAGTGTATCAACAACAAAAACTAGTGGGGTCAAAGCAGAATGATATTTAAATCAGATTTCCTTGTTATCATCCATCATAACAGAGTCGGATAAGGGAATACTCTCTGACTTGCTAGTACTGGTCATAGTATTGCCACAGTAATATGATAGCTTTCCTAAGGGTGCAGAAAATACGAGCAAAATCCTCCAAGAGAAAGGGTGTAGTGATATTAATATGGATTTACAATAATCATATTACCATAAATGGCAGTTAAAATACTTAACTCTGGTCCATTAACCTGAATAAGAAAGCAAGGCAGCCTAAACTTTTTAGCATGATCCTGGTGTTGAAGAAGGTATTGTTTTTAATATGCTGTATTTTGTATGTGTGGGTCACCTCCAGTGCCAGGTTCTTTTTTCACTGCATGCAGCATTCATTATTCATGCCAATAAAGCTGTTGTTGGGACTAGGGAACCAGGCACCATCTGTGTGAGATCCATTATCGAGTTCAATCATCAGAAAATTGATATGGAAATAATTCTCAAAATATTTCTGCTCATTCAATCTCTTTCTCACAGTGTTCAGACATCACTTCACTAAGAACATTTACAAAGTGATAGTCTTCAACTGTAGGTTCAGCATTCTGACATAAATCTAGGAACTCTCCAAAGATTGGGTGTAGTAGTTCTGTTGGAATACCACTGGAAGATAATGGGCGATGATTCAGGAACATTGGTTCATGGCTCGATTGTTTATAAGTTCTCGCTAGATCGCTTGGGCAGCCAAGTCTGGCTAAGTCTTTCATATAGCGTTTATCCTCTGTTCCTTCTTCTGCCGCCTCTCGTTTGCGCTTATTACCTGATCCAAAGATGATATGTGAGGATACAATATCAATATTAACGATAAAATGGCAATATTAGACATTCATCAATATTGCTATGATTACTACCCTATGTACACACTACTCTATGTCCCCAACGCCCGAGTCACAAAGTCGTTACCTGGCTGAGAGGTCGTGGAGCGGGAAGAAGGAGAGTTGAAAACGAATGTAGAATACTGGAAAGGAGAGATGAAGAGGCTGACTCCGCTATCCACCTCTTCCTCTCTCTCTCGCTTCCCCATTCTTCAGCCGCCAAACTTATCCTCAGATTTCTTAACCTTTCCAACTTCCCCTCCAACTTCCCCTCCAACTTGTCATACTCCTTCTTCGCGTCATCGTATGGTGTGCTCATGTTTCTTTATGGATGTGAAGGACGAAATTTTTTTCGTTGTTGAAAGATGTGCTGCGCAGTGTGATCTAATTAAACGCTGATCAGT